CATTTCCATATTTCTCTCATGGTTATTTAAGTTCTTGATTCTGTGAGATGTTTTGTGCTTAATTCCTAACTTGGGCAATGGCAGATGAGTGTGTAAGAACCTTTTCTGAGATGCGAAACACAGCATAACTTCAGCCGGTGTGTCTATTTCCCCTCTAGCTGTTAAATTGGCTGTGTATCATTTGTTTGGAATGAGAAGACATGGCCATGCTCAACTTTCCTCTCTGCTTTGTACCAAAAGGGAAGCCAGGGGCTTTCTTTAAGAGAGATCTTTACTTCCTTATAGAAAACTACTTTCATACAAGTGTTATAATTTGGGGCCCATTGTTTTCAGCACAAATGAATTAAACAAAACAGGAGCAATGACTAAAATAGTAAAATAGCTGCCTCTTTCATTACATGTTTGGCAACACTTGGTTTGACACACTATTAGGTAGCCTTACAAACTGTTTCAATACTCTGAAACCAGAGTATATCACCACTATTAAGCTTTGATACCATATTGAAAATCTTTTTTTCACGTTGATTTATGCTCACTTATAAATGCACACACAGAATGTCAACACTTAAAATGGATCAGTTTCTAAAAGGATTTGAGTTCATTCTGATGAAAACACCAAATTAATTTGCTTAAAACATTCTATAATCTTAATATCATTATATTTTGCATCTTCCCAGATCCAAGTGTCATATCCAGTTTAAGAACAGGAAACAGGACATCCACACAAAAGGGAAAGACCCTTCATCCTATTATTATCTAATTAACTACTATCTAGGAATTGATAAGCATTGACCTTTGTTCTGAAAGATAAACAGTCCTGTAAGTTAGTAAGTAAATAAAAAATATCAGCATGAGGGCTTTTCTCAGCAAAATCTCAGTGGTCCCCTTTTAGTTTATCTGTTCCTCTGGGCTACTGAAGTACAGTTCACAAAACAAAAAGCAAAATGATTTTCCATTCCAGCTGTTTTTAAAAATACATAGAAGAAAACTTTTCCTTAAAGAAGAGCCAGTCTCATTATGAGATTCTTGTGGTGTCTAGCCTATGTATAATAAATAATAAGCCATCATCACAGTCTCAGATTTCCTTCTTCCTAGGAAAATCAAGAAGTCTGCTCTTTATAATAGATGATCAGACATCTGGAGATACCAAATAAAACTGGGTATATACATGTCAGATTAAAACAAAAAGATGTTGGGCTAGATTATTTTTTAAACTAAACTACTTCTATTTCTCTTTGGCTGAGAACATGAGTTATGCCTGCTGATAGTCCCCCAACATACTAGTCAAACCAGCTGGGTCAGACACTAGACACTCAAGAAAATAACCTGCCATCTCAGACATACTTACTTACTTGTTTCTTTTAATTCTGATTGTCTGACCACCGCACAGCGTCAATGACAACATGCAAAAGGCTGGACAGGTTCACACCAAGGGTCTGCCCTACCAGTACTCTCCCTCCAATGATGGCTCTAGGCGTGACAGCCCGAACTGAGGGCAAGCGTGTACAATACTTCCCCCCAATTCCCTACCCTCATGTCTCTACCTCCAGCTATTTTCAGCCCAGTGGAGTTACTGATCCATTTATGGCTTGTCTATCTAATGACCTCCCTAGGTTTCCAGTTGGCTATCTAGACTTCTTGCATCCACAGTGCTGTTTGGTAAGGAATGTCATGTGAGTTCTCTGTCGCATGGAGAATATTCACACTACGTAGTCTAATTCCAGCAGATAGCATTTAAAAGAATAACTTTTTTACTATTGGCAGATACAGATCATGTTCCTCAAAGCATTTGTTCCTATTTATACAAGAAAAGCAATGACACTGTTCTCATCTGCTGGTATAGGAACCTCTTTCAAGACTTTGGAGACATTCACTTGAATGTTGAATGGCTTTAAAAACTCAATGCCCTTCTGAACAAATGTTCCTTCCTTTTAAGCTTCTAAAAACGGATTCATTCTTTTAAATCTGTTGCAATTTTTTTTTTTCTAGAAAATGCACTTCCATGAGCTAAAGTGGCCAAGTTTGATATACCTTTGAATTATCCTGCAAAGGGGCTTGCTTTCTCAGTCCACAGAGGCAAAACCTACAATAGTATTAACATTTTCGGTTCTGCTATCCACAAATACCTTATTCTGAAACCCTAGAGAAAATGTACCCTACAAAACAAAAGAATGCTTAATGGATTAATATATATAGCTTTTTAATTTTTACAAACTGTACAGATAACTGCCACAAATCTCAGGTGTTTTTACCATCTCAATGATTAAATCATCTCTGTAAGTAGCAGCAAAAATTTTATAACCTCTCAGGGCCTGCATCATTAAGTACTGAAAATAACCTGAAGTGCTGTGCAAAGCAAATGGTACAGTTGTAAACTCCTACAGACTCCTAGGAACTTGAAGCCTTTCTTAAGGCAATAGTCAGTAACATTTCACATAAATAGAAAGCTAATTCTCTACTTTTCATTATAAGATGTTCTAGTCATTCTGGTATTGACATCTCCAGGTTTGCATTAGCATTGCTGTGCCTGCATACACCAGGTTGCCTATACCAACACATCTAGAATTGGTACATCTCTACCACCTCTCGCCACAACAGGCTTAAAACTAATCCACTGTCCATGAATAACAAGTTTCTCAACAGCAGCTTTTCAATACGGAGCTTGCAATCTGTCTCCCATTCACTTTGTCAAATTATGGTCCACATATCAGCCATTTGCAGCAGTGATATATCTGTCAGGCGTCAAGTACATTTCTTGCAAAGGAAAATCTTTTTTAGGATTTTTTAACTTTCAAAATGTCTAATCCCAAACATGCAAAATAATGAGTCAGTTGCCAAAAAATCATGATGGCTTTTTTTTTTTTTTTTTTTAAATATGTTAATGTCTTTTCCTTTGCTTTCTGGAGCTTTTTCTAGGTCATGTTTTCAAGCTTTTCTCCAATGCCATAAGGGTTTCAAACATTATTAAAAAGAAAGCAACTGAGATCTATTTGTAATTGCATGTTTAAGAAAAACGTTTATTACCATCAAACTTAAACTGTGTTGAACTGACAACCAAGAATCTTCAGAAATGTTTTTGATCAAATAATCCTGAAATAGGAATATTGCTTCAAACCTGCTTTCTCTAGAGTTTTGTTTACATTACTTATGTATTTTTTTTCCAGATAACTAGACTTTACCAAAAGCAGGTTGTTTGACATGGAAAAAAGTCATGATTTAACGTTATCTTGAAAGACTCTTTACAATATTAAAATACGTGAGGTGCAAATTATACATCTCAATACGTATACATACATATATCCTGACACAGTGATTTCTTCATCTGAAATTTGTGATTTTCTCCCCCTTGAGTCCCCTTGAAATCTTTACCATGGATTTATTTTTTTCAGTGACGAGAAGACAGCTTTGTGTGACAATGTGCATTACAAATCTTTTTAAAAGTTCTTCAGATTTCACTTGTTTTGTGGTGGAAATGTTCGTATTGATAAATGTAACCATTCGTGTTAAACATCATCATCTCAGCTTATTTTTGTGGCACTCACTAATTTGTTTTCATTTAAAGAAGGAAAGGCATTCCTTTTTTTTCATAACACAATTCCTCTGTTAGGCATTATCTAAGATCAGTACAGTGTCCTTCCTGTACTCCTTCTCTTCCATCCTTTCTGTCCTGATTAAAACTACCAGACACTCAGCAGGAAACTCAGTGGGATTGCTCATGGTGTCTTGAAGTCACCCTTTCTTTCATTGCTTTTGCCTGTTAAACCTTGTTTTGCTCACCAATCCCTCTCCCGCATCCCATTGGATTCCCAACTTTCCTTTGTCAGCACCCTCGTTTGCAGCTAATTGAGCTCCTCTTCATTTTCCCTGCCCCATTCTCTTCCTCTTCCTCCCCTCTCAGTTTGCCCATCTCCTCAAGTTTCCCTCCTATGCCTTGTGTCAGTACTGTCCACAACACGGCCAGGCTTGACCACCATGATCTAATGGGGCAGATCCCGGCTGACGAGGTATTTCACTGGTGCTTTACACTTTCGCCTGTTTCCTGGTTTCTGGGGCATGTACATGGATCACAGCGTACTTCTGCCACCACAAACTCTGGGCAATGGCTTCCACTCTGCTGGGACTGGAGACTATGGACTCTGCTGGCAGCTCGACCCAGCCAACCTCAGAGGGCTGCCAGGGCAGCCTGACCCCATCTTTGCAACACGGTCGTGGAGATGGGCCGGGGGTCTCACAGAAGCACCTCAAGGGACCTGCCCACGGCCACACTGGCAGCCTGAGGCTGGCCCAGTGAACCCCTCGCTCTCCCACCGCCACTTCCACCCGGCCCTCCGGCCTGGCCCCGGCCCCGGCCCCACCGCGGAGGAGATGCCATAGTAACGGGACGGGGCCGGGCGGCGCCGGGAGCCGGGCGGGGAAGGCGGGTGGGAAAGGGCGGGGACGGCGGCGGGATGGCGGGCGCGGCAGCGCCCCCTCTCCGCGACTCCCAGCCCCGTCCCCGGCGGCCGCAAATGGCTCTTCCTCTGCCGGCCCCTTTGTGTGAGGCACACTCGGAGCAGCAGCTCCGCGGCGGAGCGCGGTGCGTCCCCTGCCGCCGCCCGCCGAGAAGGGCCGAGCCGAGCCGAGCCGAGCCGAGCCGAGCGAGCCGGGCGGCTCGGGGCGGCCATTCCAGCGCCTCGTCTCTCCGCTCGCTCCCGGGGTACGCGGGGGCCCGGCCGCTGTCGCCGCCTCCCCCTTTATCCCCCCCCCCAAGGGCCCACTCCTCACTGTGAAGGGCAACCAAAACACACGGCCACCAAAAACCACCAAATAAAAATAACAACAATCACAACAACAATAATAAAAAAAAAAGAGAAAGAACGGGAAAAGAACAGAGGGAGCAAGCGAGAGGGAGGGAGGGAGGGAGAAGCGAACCAACTCTGAGACTCCCATAAAGAGCGGCACGCACGGAGCGAGCGCCCCGGTGCCGATGCGTGGGGGAAACAATAAGTACTCGAAGTTACCTGCCCTGCCGTAGAAGAAGGAGGGTTCGTGGGTTCTCTCGCAGACATCTGCAGACCGGTGCTTTTTTGGAAGAGATTTTTTTTTTCCTCTCCTCTCTCTCTCTTTACAAACCACAAACGGATGTGAGGCAGGGAAGGTGTTTGACTACTGAAGTCAGGCACCTCTTTTTTATCCTTCTCAGTCTTGTGTATCCCCCCCTTCCCTCACACACACATACACTCACGCTCCCCCCTTTTTTGCACCAACATTAACGACCCAAAGAAAAGGAAAGGAGTTTGCTTGATGTTTTAGTGAAATGGACGTAAGATTTTATTCGCCACCTCCTCAGCCTGCAGCCGCTCCTGATACGCCTTGTTTGGGACCTTCCCCCTGCCTGGACCCCTACTATTGCAACAAGGTGACTCGTGTTTTGTGTCGTCCGAGGTGTTTTATCTGTGCTGTCGGTGTGTGCTGTTGTCGCGGCGTGTTGCATGAGCGGGCGCTGCGCTTTGGCGAGCGGCGCACCAAGTTCCCGGGCGAGGCGGAGGGAGGGCAGCGGTACTTGCCGGGGTTTGGGGAGCGCACTACCGCCCGCCGCGGAGCGGTGCCGCCGGGACACACACCGGCTCCCCCGCAGGCACCCCAAATTAAACCCCCGGAGTAGTCTGGGGGCGGGCGGCTGGAGCGGGGGGGCGGAGGGGGGAGGCATTTTCCATAACATCTTTTCGGAGAAACGGCGTGGACGGGGATGCTGATGCGGGGGACTTGAATTTCCAAGGCTTCTGTTAATGAGAAAGATCGCGCCCCCCACAAATCGGCAGAAACTCTGCCCCGCAGTCCGTGTGTCAAAGCGGTACTTGGCGGTGCCGGGAGCGCGTTTGGGTATCTGTGTTTGTATGCGTGTGACATACATACACATACACATCTCTCTATATGCACAATAAGTGTGTATAGTGGTGACAAGTCGGTTCAGAACATTGGCTCGACACTGTCCCAGCTGTGCAACTGCCTTACCAATTTCTCTGTAACTTGATTAAACCTCTGCAAATAGGGTCAGTACCTGAGCAGACCTAAGTTTTAGGTTCCCGAGCCCAGGGGAAGGAGGAACCGCAGAGGAGGCCCGCGCTCGCCCAAATCCTGAGTCTGGTTCCGAGAGTTTGGTGCTACGGTCCGGGAACACTTTGCGTGACTTTTGCTGCCGAGGAAGGGGGCTGGGGTTCCTGCATTGTTACTGCCGCTGTGGCCTGAGCCAGCTGGTGCTTTATGCATGAGCTGCACTTTCTCTGCTGTTACGGAATGGGCTTTGCACATGAATAAAACGGTGGCTGTAGGAAACGATCGGGAAGTGCGAGTTGCCCAGAGCACTCCTTTGAGCACACCCCGGCCAAGGGGGGAGCAAGCCGGGAGAGAGCGATGTGTTCAAACCTGCGCGCTCGGGCGCTCGTTCGGGAGCCCGCCGTGGCAGCCCGTGGCGGGCTGCGGCAGCAGATGGCTTTTGGCAGCGCAAACCCCGCCGTGCGCAGGCTCCGCAGGGTCGGCCGCGGGTGCGGGGGGCGGCGGGGTCCGGGGGGCGCGGGGACCCGCCCGGCCCGGCCCGGCCCGGCTCGGCTCGGCCCGCGGCGGACAGCCCGGTCCCGCGCCCGGCTATTGTGACGGTCTCACGTGTCAGAGAGACGTTCCGAGCCGTCCCTTTCATCCCGAGCAGCTGCCTCGATTCAGAGATAAACAGCAAAATAGCGTGTGTCTGTGCTGAGGCGCGGAGGCTGCGGCGCCCGGGTGAAGCCCTCTCAGTTTTCCGGAAAGATTTCCCACATGGTCGCATCTACCAATCACAACAGAAAGGACCAAATTCATCCTGGCTGCATTTCACATATACTCAATGGAGTTATAGAATCCAGGGATAAATCTGGCCCTTTGTGGTGGATGCCTAAGGATATTTCAAGAGAGATCCCAGAGGTATGACTGTTAGCACTGTTTTAAGTAACTGTTTTGCAGCATCTGGTAAACCTGCCCTATAGATTGGAAGTTTGTGCCAGGAATGAACTTTGTTCAGCAGGAAGAGTTCAGATGCGTAGGAGCATTTATGTGTGCATTATTTTTTTGTTAGTGCTCTAAGTAATCATGGGGCTACTGCTACCTTTCTTCTATGGCTTGCTGTTATTTTCTCTATTGTCAGTTTTGTAAATTGTAACAGTGAAATGTTGCCATGTGAAAATCCTGGGCTGATATTAATGACATAAGCACCAAAGTGTTTGACGACCCGTTTGGCAGTGAAACTGGACAGACGTTATTAAACCTATCAATGATTTAAAGCTTCAGAAAGAAGGTAATGACTTGAATACACATTTCAGTCATCATTCTTGAGATAGTGTACCAGATTTAATTTAAAAGTTAAATGCTTTGGAAAATCAGGAATTACCTTAATATATTAAATCATTTTCCAATTAAGTTCCTTAAATAATTTTTGGTGTGTTGCACTGCAAATCGAATAAATTAATTTAGAAAGTCGTTTCCAGAATTTCTTTACTAGCTGGCTAAAGCTTCTTTCAAGTCATGCCATGTATGAGGGAGCAAACTGTTCTTTTTAAATGCAAATGAGACACTCATTCTGTAGACAAGTTGCAACTCTTCTATTTCACTTTGCCTGAACTGATAATGTGCTTAAAAGTGCACAGTCATAAGACATATGTTTTATGCTTGGAAAAGACTTACCAAGAATGTTTCAGTATAAGATACCGAGTATTGAACAAATGTCTTTTTCAGATGTCTTTGCCACTGACCACTGATTACATTAAATGGACAGAGTAGGTTTGCCAGGCCCCTTTGGAGGCAATACACTTAGTGAACATTTCGTTTTTCACCCCCTTCACCCAGCATGATTAACATTGCTGTGAAAACTTATCTGACTTGTTCTAAACATGTCGTCATGTTACAGTATTGCTCTGTCACTCATTTTCAGGCTCTGTGTATTCAGGGAGTTTGAAGGGCAGGAGGCCTGCAGAATTTTGTGTTCGGTGTATTTGGTTGAGTGTTTGCTTGAGTGATCTCTCCCAGGAAAGGAGATGGAGATGATGGAGTATGATGGATCCACGCTCTGGGTCAGAATGCTGATCTTCATTAGGTCTTAACCTGCAAAACTCATTCGAAACTGGATTTTGGTTCTTGTAAAGTTAGTTAAAACTTGCTTTTGGCCCTTATTAGAGGATTTGGCCCTATTTTTCATACCTGGGTTTTGGTGATGTATTTTCTTTTACAAATTTGCCAGACTTTGCTTCTTTACATTTTAAGTTTGCTTGAGCTGCTGGTAATTTAGAATGTATTCCACAAATGCTTAGCCTTTTAGGTTTTCTAATTGTTCTGTTAGCGCTAGTTTTTTTCCTGGTCAGATGATTGCTCATAGTATAAGAGTTCCCAGGCACATGCATGGGAGGTATTGACATGCACTTTTCTGTAGCCAAAGGAAAATGCAATAATGTAGATTCAAACATTCACGTCTTATCTTACAATTTTCCGTTGGCAGGCTTTGTTTCAGAAGACTGCTTAGATCTTTATTTTATAAACCTAAAATAGCATTCTAAGCATCTTAGCCTAATATTTCTGTATCTGCTGTGAAAGCTCGTTATATTCTGCATATATTGTTATGCAGACTTTTCCTTGTTTCTTTTGCATTACCCATGAAGAGAGAAAAGTGAAAGAACAATGCAAACAATGTTGGTTATGACAACTGTGTGAGGTATCTCTTATACAAACAGACAGAATGGACGGTATGCTGTGGTATATAGGTCAGCCTTTGAAATAACATAGTGGAGCTCTTACACTGGACAGATTTAGGGTTGGGGTTGTACTGTTCGACTCTTGAAACTTGAAGCATAATTACATTTCAGATATGTACAGGCTGATGTGAATAGTCTGTTCGGTTGAAGTTTATTTTGGGAAGCATCACGTTCCGTAATTGAGTTGAATGCTATAAAAGAAATAACTTTGATAATCCAAGTGTCTTAATTTGATAGAAGAATATGGCCACTGATTTTGAGCTGCTTGAAATGATAAGTTTAAATGTTTATGTACAGAGCAACAAATAACAGCCTTGTGGCTTTCTACATTGAAGTGTCATCTCCAAAGACTGCTTTGATCAGTACTGTAAGAAGGATTGGTATATTTTAATTTTAATACTCGCAACTTTGCAGTGTTTTCAGATATCTGCTCACATAAAGTGCAGTTATATAATTATAGTTTGACACAGCTAATGACAGGGATGCTGACCTCTGCCAACAGTAGGCAGAAAATAATGGTCTTTACTGCTCCCAATGGTTAGCCCTGCAGAATTATGCACTGGATTGTTCTGTGATTTGCTACCTTGTTCAAAAATACGGGAACCTACAACTCATCTTTCTTGTATTCACTGGTAGTTGTCAGTGCAGTGGAAAAATACAGCCAGACAGCAGAGGTAAAATGATAGACTGTAGTTGTTTTTAAAGAGAGGAGTAAGAGGAAAAAGGAGGGAGAGGGAAGCAAAACCTTTCAAAATGAAAAAAACAGAGTGGCATTGGGTAGAAGTGGATAAGGAGATATAATACAGTGCTTTGTAAGCAGGTAAAATCCCACTCGTAGTCAGAATTCCACAGAGCAAAAGTGCATATATTTATACTTGGCATTTAGACTAATTTATTGTGTAAACTTAACTCTACCATAGAGACTACTCTAAATACAATGTTCCATGGCTGTTTACAAAGTGTACGTTATTTCCAGTGGCATCCTTCCATCCAGTCTGTATCTGAAACTCAGAATTGTGGCAAACAAGTGCTCTGAAGGGCAGCTCTAAAGTTGAAATGCTGTGTTACTGTTTTGACAGCATTTTAGATTATGCTCATATTGTTTATTCTGGACATATTTTTTTCACTTAGAGAACTACTTGTCCTCTACTGCATTAGAATCATACTTTAAATTTGTTGCTGTTTTTTAAAGGAAAGATTGAACAGTTGCATTATGGCTGACTGTTGATTTTCAAGTGTTAAGGGTTTTAGTTTCAAAAATACCACATAGGAAGAAGGGAAATGGACTTTTCTTTCCTGTGTTACTAGACCTTAGTATGTAGTCTTAGAGTTTTGGGCAAGCCTCAGGTGTGCCTCCTGAAATTCCAGTGTTTCAGAAAAGAAGTGGTTCCAACTTTAGTGGAATAAAGAAAACAATTTATGTGTGTGCTTTTGAGAAATCTTTCTCAAAGATGTCTGTAAACCAAAGCACTTGCAGCAATTTTTTTTTCTTTCTGCGAAACATCAGTTCCTTCAGAGGAATTATGTTTTATTCTCTTACAGAATGATGCATTTCAACTCTAGGGCATTAGCCTCCATCAGCCTATCAAGAGGTCTTCTGAAAAAAAGTGGAAACAGTAAACTACCAAGAATGCTGAATTAGCTAAACACTACGCTACATACGCAGTACCTTTGTTGTTTACATTAAACCAAAGAGCAGCTGGAGCTGCATTTGAGAAGGTGATAACTGTGGAAGACTGGGCAGTCACAGCTGTTGAATTTGGGGCTTGTTGGGCATGTTAACTGGGAAGAACTGAGTACCCTCCGATCCTCGGATTCCCATCTTAGCAGGACTATCTTGTCTTGCTAAGAATGTAGAGAAGCATTTGAAAGCGCACTATGTTTAAAACACAACTTATGTTTAAGAAGAGAATTATCCTAATCATGGTAGGATTTAGATAAAAATTCTTGGATATTTAAATCCCGTATTGATGATGGATATAACAAAGCTTAGACGCTGGAAGTAAAAAGCTTCCTTTGACGGCACTCTCAGCATGGCTCAAGAGTGACCTGAAAGCACCACTTCGTGTGGTGAGAGGGTAGTCCCTGGATCAATGCAGACCTTGGCTTCTGGAACTGACAGCAGGGGCAATTAGTGGCAGCTTTGTTTATCTTTTTGAAGAGGACACATGCTCTTTGAATGTCTAGCATGGACTGCATACACTAAAGTACTTATTTTAAATATAGCCTAGATTTAAATGTTTTGTTGTTGCGGTTGAACTGTGTGATTGCTGTAGATCCCTTCCAACTGGAATAGTCTATTCTACTGTTTTAGTTATGCAACTGGGTACCGATTTTCTGCCCAAGGAATGTTTTCTCATTAAAAACGTTGAGTTACAAACTGCTCCAAAACATGGTTTATAACAGATTCGCCAAATGACTCTTAATTATAGCAATGCTTCCAAAATACTTTCAGGCATGGAATTCACATCAACCCAAATGAGATTTTCTTGGTCATAATGCTTTTCCCTACAGCGTTCAGTTCGAAAACGGCAGCGTTGCATTATTCTATGGTTGGGCACAGATTATGTAGCAGCAGCAACAAACACTGCCCTGCCACACTCTCGTCCCCCTTCTACTGGAATATCTGCCTTTTATGTTCATCGGTAGCGATCAGTTTTTCAGTTAATAAGTCAGGGCATGGAATAAAATGTTTAAATCTTGACTTAGACCTTCAAACTTAAAATTGCTTTTCAGCAGACAT